TCAGACTCCCAAGCTGCTGGGATTATAGGTGTGTACCACTGTGCCTGGGGTTACACATATTTTTTTTTAATTTTATTTTTATATAGAGTTATGCATCACTTAATGGTGGTGATATATCATAGAATATGCTTATAAAAACCTGGATGGTGGTTTGTATAGCCCATTCCACAGCTAGGCTATACTACATATACATTATTGCATACGTGGTTTGTCATTAACTGATGCCATTACATGGTGCAAGATCGATTCTATCTTTCTTTCTTTCTATTTTATTGGGCTGTGTTGTCTGGGCATAGAAAACCTCTTTTTTAGGTTAGAAACCAATTGTTATTCATGTTGTGACCACTGACTGTTACTAAAACCATTTTGAAATATGGGGAACAGGGATGATTTGAAGATATACGAGATTAGCTTACATAGAGTGAAATAATATTGAATCACACAGTGAAAAAGTGATTCCTTTTCCTATTGTCTTTCAGTCCTTCTGATACTATCAAGGACACAGAGCAGGGTTGGATCTGTTTAATGCTTCTCAACACTTCGTACTCTTTCTCTTTGCAAAGAGAAGGGAGCCTTGTATTCACAGCATTCACAGACAATAACCTATGCCTAGAATTTCATTACATTTTTGTTTTTGTTATACTCAGTTTTCTGTTTACCTCTCACTTAAATAAGTCATGATAATTTTGCATTTATAGCAGCAATGTATGCTTTCCTAAATAAATTTCTTTCAGTTAAAAAAGTGGTCTACTTAAAATATACTGAGGAAATAGTAGCACAGATGGTACACAGGGCAAAAATCCCAAAGATGATGAATGATTATCTAGTTTAGAAAACACTGGGATAGTGTGCAGATGCAGCATGCAAACGACTAAAAATAACCTGAAAATCACAATACAGACAGCCACTCCTTCAGAAACATTTCTGAAGAGAAGCACGTGTGTGGTAGAAAAACCATTTACTGCATTGAATCCTAAGACCCTAAACAGTGGTGGGGATTGGAGGAAGGAGTGATGGCAATTACTGCCACGATGAAACTGCAAGTGGGTAGGTTAAAGGGACAAGGCAAGGCAAGTTGGCACTTTCTGGAGGGACAATCCACACAAATCTAGAATGACTATCAATGTCTCATTCAGAGAAGGATGGTCCTCTTATACATAGAGGTAAAAAAAAAAAAAAGTCAACTTTCTGAATACGAGAGATTGATGGATCAGTCTTGCCAAGCTTCATTTTCAGGTCATTATAATCTATAATTATATTCTATTATATTCATTATAATCTATAATTATATTCCAAAATTTTCAGTACTGGGACTCAAATTCGGAGCCTCTATTACTGACCTACATTATACCCCAGCCCCCAAATTTAAATTTATAATTTTATTCATTTGCTTCATTTAAATTACCTTAAATCACTAATTCCCAATTGAGAGTCAATTTTTTTCAGACTTTCTGCATATCAGAGATTGTTGAATGTTCCACTGGGGAGTGGGAGAACTAGCTCTCCCTCTCCTCACCCCCTCACCCCCTGGCACCCCGGCCCTGTTAAAGTCACTGTCGCATGACCACTGGAGGACACAGGTGAGGAAAAGACTCAGAACTACCTCTTCAGTAAGAGACACAAACAGTGTAACTGTCTCCCAGACATCATGGGCCATGGGTATGGGTAGCACAGAAAGTTGAGGCCTGTGTAGTACCTTTCAACACCATGAAATATGGGTGGAAGTTTAAGGCTTAGGAAAAATTATTCTCAGCACCATGGTAATTTGTAAAATGGCTAAGCAGTGATTCTGTAGCATCTGGATAAAGGATACAGAAATAAGGCAAGTAACTGCAAGAGCACAAGTCCTTCCATTTAAATCAGTGCAGGATCTTCAAAAACTTCAAAAAGAGGTACATCTGAACAATAACATAGCTCTGGTCAGAAAACATCCCTCAGCAACGGATCTTTTAATTTAAGTAGTTTCAGAAAAGGGATTGCTACCTTGAACAAGTTATTTATTAATGGCAAAGATATGGTTTGGTGCCTCAGGGAATGCCTTCCATAACTTAAAAGGTGAGTTTTCTTTCCCTCCCTTCCTTCCTCCCTCTCTTCAACCCTCTCTCTCATTTCCTCTCCCTTCTTTCCTTTCCCCCAACCTCCTAATTTCTGAGTTCTTGCATACTTCTCTGGCCAACGTCCCTCAAGGTTATATGTGTTTTATTGGACATCACTGGTTTTCAAACTTTTATCTCTAAAACCTCATGACCATCCTGGGGGAAAGCTGGCAGGGCAAGACCCACGTACATCTGATGGCAGCCTTTGAAGTTCAACATGATATTTCAAATCCTGTCTCCACCGTTTACAAGCTGAGTGACACTGTGTGTGTGTGTGTGTGTGTGTGTGTGTGTGCCTCAATGACCCCATTTTATAAACGAGGATAATAAAATCACCAACTTACTTGGATTTTGTGAGGACTCAATGGGTAAATTGATGCAAAGTGCTGAGAACAGGGCCCCACATAAATAAGCACAGCACAATCATTAGCTTTACCTATTCGACTTCTCCCATAGTCTTTCCTTTGACGGAAGAGTTCTACTGCCCCCAAAAGATTAAAAAAATCACTTTGCTGCTGTCACAGATGGTTGTAGTTGTTGTTTAAATGAGAACACCATAGCATCTAACCCACATTTTTCATCAGTTTTCTCTTCCCCGTCTCAGAAAGTTTTCATTGTTCAGAACACAGTACCTTGTCCCCGTTATTCTCAAGGTCACATGCTCCTTGCTGTCTTTATCCAATCACGCTTTGTGATTCAGTGGTTTCCCTCAGAGTATACTCAATAGCATCATGACATCAGAAAGCACCTAATTGAACCTTTTATTTTACTCTGAACAAAAGTTGAGATCTTCCAAATAAAGGATCTCACCCTGTTTCTTGAGGAAAGAATGAAGAGAGGAGGGTTTCTCGACTCCTATCCCACGGCTTGTTCTCTGACAGTCCTTCTCTCAACACGTGGTGCAGTTTCACTCAAGATGATTCTGAGTTCCTTTGCATTCTCAGAGCCACATCTCTCTCCAAGGACTCTTGAAATTCTGCCACTGATAACTTTGTGCTCTGGTCTTCCCACCACCCAGTGGACAACCTGTGGCCACCATATTCATTTATTCACTCATTCATGTGAGCTTTATTTGAGCTTCTAAACAGTTTCAGTTCCTCTGCTGGGTTTGAGGAATTCAGAATGACAGGGTCACTGTGTTAGAGGACTTCATTTCTACACTGGTAGGTATGCGAATAAAGATGAGTCACAGGAGCCAAGCACAGTGGCACACACCTGTAATCCCAGCAACTCTGGAGGCTGAGGCAGGATGATTGCAAGTTCAAAGCCAGCCTCAGCAACTCTTAGTGAGGCCCTAAGCAACTTAGTGAGATCCTGTCTCAAAATAAAAAATAAAAAAAGCTGGGGTTGTGGCTCAGTGATCAAGTGCCCCTGGGTTTAGTCCCCAAAAGATAAAGTCATAGGAAAACACACAGTATATAAGGGCTAGGGTCATATTCATGCACAGAACATTGAGAAGGAGGGTTGTTCACCCAGCCTAGGCATCATGGTCAGGAGAAGCTTCTTAAAGGAACTGACTCCAAAACTAGATAGACACAAGCCAGACAAAGAAAGGGGGAAGGCACTTCAGGTGGGGGATAGAATGTGGGAGGGGGAGCAAGGGCACTGGTGTAAGCAGAGAACTTTGGGGGGGATATGTTAGAAGTTGTGCTCAGTAGGAGTGGGAAATCCGATAAATTAGAAGAAGAGAGGTTTGACATACTGGGCCAGATCTTACAGTGTGAACAGAATAATTTTATTCTAGAAGCTGTACAGAACCAATGTAGAAGTTTCATCAAGAAGATGAGAATTTATTCTGTAATGGCATCATGGAGAATGAAGAAGTGCTTAGAGGTTATTGCACTAATTAATCCAAGTGATATAAGAAAGTAGGATCTCTTCAAGCACAGAAATATGTACCTAGGCTACGACATTCACGATCAACTGTTGAGTGTTCCTATGAGCTGAATTCTTGAGAACTGTACAACTGTTTTCCAGCCATCTACTTTTTTTTTTTTTTAAGTAGTCTGTATTTCTTACTTTAACTAGGTAACCTTTCAGGTTGTTTGATCATTCTTTCTTTCTGTTCTTTTTTTTTTTTTTTATCAATTAAAAAGCCCTTTTACCTCAGTGTTGACTTCAGTTATCCTTTCAATAATCATTAATTTAAATTTCTGTTAAGAAACATTGTGTGTGTACCTGAGTGTGTGTGCATGTGTGTGTATGAGTGATTTTAGTTGCCACCAAATTTCTAACTTAATCTTCAGATTAAAAAAAAAAACATGGTTCATGAAATTTCATTGCTTTACACTTCTACCATGTCTATCAAAAAGAGGAGTTCTAGATGTACTCCTTGGTGGGCAGTTCACCATTAAGGAATTATATATATTGGGTGAAGGGTACATTTTTTAAATGGGTTCCTGATTAATTTTTTGACAACTATTTTGATAAATCAGCAGAACTAAGACAATTTCTTATCTAGAAAAACTAAAAAGAGAATTTTTTTTTGCAATTTTTGTAACCCAAGATAAAATTTACAAAGTTTGTTCTTGAATTGCTTTTAATCTTAGTAATATTGGAAGTGAAACCAAGATTCAGTCAGGGATAGGAGTAGGTGAAGTGCATAAAGGTAGCATTTTAGAAAGAACGCCTCAATGAGTCATTTCGTACCAGAGTTTTGTTACCTTTTCTTTTGTTAAAACACGAGGGTGTCAGGAATGATAACTTTCCAAGTGTGATTTGATGACATTTTTACTTAGGGACAGATACATGCGAGCGCGCGCACACACACACACACACACACACACACACAATATACCAATCTACTTTGGCCAGTTTTCAAGCTGTTTCGTGCACTTCCAAGTGTCCACCTTTCCAGGTGTCTTTGGCCTCTGCATCCTACCCTTTCCTCTCCCGTGTACTCACAGAGTCTGCGTACTGGGCGGTAGGCTGGGGATGCGGTGAATATCCTTGCAGGTGACTTTGAAGTCGTCCTCCTGGTGGCACTCGCAGGGTGGAGATGGACACCCCCTGCCCCCCAGACTCCTGGGCAGGGAGAGCAGCAATACCAGCTGCAGCAGGGACTCCAGCCTCATTTTTCCACCGGTCCCCAAGGCTATGTCTTCATCCTGAGCTGTCGTCTTATTCTCAGTCCTTTGCGCCTCCGATTCCCCTAGGCAGAGGGAGATCAGGGAGCCGGAGGGGTGGGAGGAGGGAGGACTCCAAGAGGCTGTGACCTCACCACCGCAGGGGAGGCTGGAGAGGGAGGAGAGGCTCTCAAGTGCTCAGCTTCCCTAGGCAACTCTCTACCCAAACAAGCCTACTTGTTTCACTTTTTTTTTTTTTTTTTTGGCTTGAGCCACGCAGCCCGCTCCGTCTGTTCCCAGGCACCGGTGCGGGCTGTTCCTTCTGTTTTCTAACCCACCCCAACGCGTTCCTTCTTATTATTTCTCTCCAAAGCCTCCTTTAGAAACCATTCTCCCTACTTTTTCTGTAAAATGCAAAACACCACCTTTCTCCGTGCCCAGGACCCACCCGCACGCACTTTAGCCCGGGAAAGCCAGCTTGGATTGGACGGTGCTGCTGAACTTCAACTTCGCTGCTGAAAGTCTGGGGCTGGCACACCGCCCAGGCCAGCCCCGGGTGCAGCCCAAGCGGGCGCGCGACCGCCCTGGCGGACCTTTGATCTTCGAGGCCGCCCGACTCCAGCGCCCACCCCGATCGCTCCGCGCCAGTGGCCCTCTCCCACAGGAGTCGCCGCCAGCATCCTCCAGGAGGCGACCATCTCTTCCCCGCAACCTCGCTACTCCTCCAGGCGAGTCAGGAACCGGGCTCTGGGGCCATCTGCTGGGGAGAACCGGGAAAGACAGAAACCCTTCCTGGTACCCCAAATGGATCGCACTCCAGCCTCGGGATACATATTTGAGGCTGGCTGGAAATCTGGAAATTCTTGTCTTCCTAGAAATGTTATTAATTCATACCCCACCCCCCGCCAAGGGGGCAAAAGGAATACGTATGTGGTACACCATTATCTATCTACTCATCGTTCTTCACACATTAGCCAAAAAAGACTTATTAGGAATATTAACCAGATTGTGCCAATTTCCTTCTTAAAAGTCTTCAATTGCTTAGCTAATTTCTGTTGGTGCAAAAGGAATATCAACTCCTTACATACTGCATGATTCCTTTTATAAGAAATTGCTTTTACTTCTGTTGTATAGATCATTTACGTCTGATATCATTACTAATATTAGGCTTGAAGTACATAATCTTGCTGTTCATTTTATATTTTCCTACTTTAATTTCATTCCCCCCCCTTTTTTTTTACAAAAAGCATCGTTTTGGATTAATCCAGAAATTTTTATGATTCCATTGTGTCTTCTTAGCTGACTTAGCCATTACTTTGCTATTGCTTTAGGGGTTTTGTATGCATATTTGAGTATTCCTAGTCTGTGCTGTTATCATACCATTTTTGCATCATTTTAAAAGTCTTTACGACCCAACTGGGGCCAAACATCTATACTCCCAGTGGCTTTGGAAGCTGAGATGGAAAGATCCTGTGTTCAAAGCCAGCCTCTTCAACAGCAAGGCACTAAGCAACTCAGGAACACCCTGTCTCTTGAAAATAAATAAATAAATAAATAAATAAATAAATAAATAAATAAATAAATGGTGGAGGGGGTGACTGGGGATGTGGCTCAGTGGTTGAATGCCCCTGAGTTCAAGCCCTGGTACCCTCTTCCCCCAAGAAAAAAGGATGTTAGAAAGTATGCTTCCATTTATTCTTTCCTCCCTGAACTTTTAAGTCTTATTTTACTTTATGTATACATAGGCTATAAACCCCACAATACAATGTTGCTATCTTTGTTAAGATCAATGATCTTTTAAAGAGATTCAAATAATAACAGAGTTACTCTTTCTGATCTTCTCATTCCCCAGAGGTAATCCATATTTTCCGTTGTGTCTTTCCTTTGGCTTGACAGACTTTCATTAACATTTCCTGTAGGGCATATCTGCTGGTTATGAATTATTTCAGCTTTTGTGTATCTGCAAAAGTGTTGATTTGCCTTCTTTTTAAAAGGATATCATTGCTAGGTATAGAATTATAGGTTGACAAATTTTTCCTTTCAATACTTTAAAAATATGGTTCTATTTTCTTGTTGCTTGCATTGCTTCCAAGGGGGGAAAAATCTTCTATTATAGCTCCCATTGTTCCTTTATAAAATGCTTTAATCTGGACTGCTCTTAAGACTTTATCACGAGTTAAAATCAATTTGCATTTTTTTTTGCTTCTTTGCATGTCTGATAATCTATGTTTGGAAGATAGACACTGTAAATGTTATCCCTTTTTGCACCCCATTATTTCTTTTGCGGTCATTTAAATATTCTTGAGCTTTGTTATAAGACATGGTTAAATTCCTTTTGAGCAGTTTGATATTTTTGATCTTGTTTTTAAGGTTTCTTAAGTAGGAACAGAGTAGCATTCAATCTAATTCTTCTGAAGAAGAATTCTTCCATTTCTGAAGGAAGACCTTTCCAGATACTCTATCCAATGCTTCACGAATCATGAATTTCAATCTGGCTGATGGGTATTGTCACTTTTCTTGGTTCTGGATGACAGGCACTTTCCCCTCTGATCTCCTCAGACACTTATTTCTCCAGCTTCTGTTTTTTTTTCACATCTATAATGATTAATATTCTGTTGTATATTCCATGGGAGATCTTGTGGGGTTCTCTGGAGTTTTCCATCTTGGTGGCTCTCTCCCTTCTGTAGTGCTGTATTCATTTTTTTCAACCCTTCATCTTCATCTCCTTAATTTAGAGCATCGCTGGGCTCTGCCTGGGCTCCTTCTCCTTGCACCCTGGCTTGGATACTTTCTCAAGCCAGTAAATTATAACAGTCATAAGTTTTCCTCATTTGTTTCCTCTCTCAATGGGATCACTATCCTTTTTCTGTATCCACTTGAAAACCATTATTTCATATATTTTGCCTTTTTTTAGTAAAAGCAGATTTTTTATTATGACGTCTATCCATACTTGGCACTGCTATGAATGGCTTACATTTGTTTTTTTGTTTGTTTGTTAATCTGATGGGAATGTAAATCTGGTCTCTGTTTTTCCATCTTTGCTAGAAATAGAAGTGATGTGCTAAAATCTGTACCATTTTAAACCAAGATTTAGACAGCATAAATTGGCTTAGAAGATAATAATGTAAGTAAAATATCCTATGATGAACAGTTTCAATTCAGTAAATTGGAACAAGCTTTCAGGATAACATGTTCTTATAGCCTGTTCAACAAATGGCTATGATAACCATAAAGGCAATTTTCTTACCTGAACATAACTTTTAAACCAGAGCAAATAAACATGAGTTGAGATGATGAATCAACTTAAATGAAGAGCAAAGTGTTTGCACTCAGATACATTAAACACACAAAATATCCTTCTAAATGTAACAAATAAATGAGAAGGGCTATGGAATGCTAGGTTTTCCATTTTTGTAGGAAAGCCATTAACATGGTCCATATATTGGAAAGTGTTGTGCATTTGAATGACAATGTTATAAAACTGATGCTCATGAATGTGATAACTGCTTGTAAATAGTAAGTGTATGACTGAAAAGAATATTATGGGATCAACCATGGTTCTACAGAATGAATAGCTAAAGATGACAACTGAATAGTGGTCAATACCATAGATGCAACATCTTATGTTTTATTTTGACTCTTAGTTTTCAGTTAGCTTTAAAACTTATAAGAGTCAACAACTACTTATGATCCTTTTCTGCTGGTGTTAAGAGAGTAAGATTTCACCACTGCTTCATTCATTCCCACCAAATCAAAATTTTGGGTATTTCCTTTTTAGTTTACCTACAGTGTTTTATGTGGCGTCTTCTTTATTATATTGTCCTGTGATAGTACAAGGGGGCTTTGCCATCTGTGGTGGCAGGATGAAACCAAGCAAAGTCTAATGTTACGGGTGATCATCACTTAGGCTGGGACGTCCAGGAAACATGGAGGTTGCTTTTGAAGACACATCATCCCCTGATGCTATTGGGTGGGATAGCAAGGTACAAGCTATGAATATTGCTTGCTTGGACATGGACTTCTCTAGACATAGGCTATTCCCCTATACTTTTGTGTTTATGTCCAAAACTCCCAGCTCCCCCTGCCATTTCAGGACCTTCTTGTTCTCTGTGTCATATCACATTTCTAATCATAGAACTTTGGTTTTGGAGGATTGAGTTTGTTCATGATACTTTCTTTGATGGCGTATGCCTTGACTCTTTAGTGAGAGCAGAGCTGGCTTCATGGGTTTGTGACTTGAGCAATCTCACAGGACCCTGTAAATATTTGAGGAAAAATAAATACTTGAAGAAAAACTTGATATTTATTTTCCTGTCACATGGAAATAATCTGTCTGCCGTTGCCATTTCACAGTGGTATGAGTTTGCAAGGTATTGGCCAATCACAACTTCTGACTCTACTGCCTCTATCAACCACCGAAACAGTTTTTCTTTTCTTTTCTTTCCTTCCTTCCTTCCTTCCTTCCTTCCTTCCTTCCTTCCTTTCTTATGAGGGACTGAACCCAGGGGCACTTAAACACTGAGCCACACCCCTAGCCTGTGTGTGTGTGTGTGTGTGTGTGTGTTTTAAGACACAGGGTTTTGCTGAGTTGCTTTGGGCCTTGCTAAATTGCTGAGGCTGGCTTTGACCTTTCTATCCTCCTGCCTCAGCCTCCCGAGCCAATGGGATTACAGGCATGCACCACTGTGCCTTGTAGCAGTTTCTTACATGACATCTGTGTTCCCTTCTCCATATTTACCCATTCAAAACGAGTTGAGTTATAATGCTTTCAGACTAGCTCCATTCCAGAAACTCTGTATTTTTATTTCATTTTTGCAGTGCTGGAGATTGAACCCAGAACATTGCACCAGATAGCCAAGCACTATACCACTGAACAACAACCCCAGTTCCCTAGAACATTTTACTGATTCACCCTTCCAGGTGTTTAATGTTTGGTGTGGCTCAAAGGTATTTCTGATGAGAATGCTCAAGAAACTAGATGTGGAATTATTACCTTGGATCTTGGACTGGATGGCTTCACCAGTGTAATCTTAGCCAAGGGTCTTTGGGTTTTAATCAACAAAACTAACTTAAGTTTTGAAAGGGAAATAATCACAAGCTGTAAGGTGTATTCTTTCTTCTAAACATCTAGAACAGAATCAAGTCCCCATGTTCATGGAACTGACACAGTGGGGTATCATAGTTTATAGGTCCAAGAACACTCACTGTGAGCACTGGGCTGCATGCTTCACATACTTTATTTT